AGGTGGGTGGATTGCCTGAGCTCACGGGTTCGAGACCAGCCTGAGCCAGAGTGAGACCTCGTCTCAAACAACAGCCAGGCGTTGTGATGGGTGCCTGTAATCCCAGCTACTTGGGAGACCAAGGCAAAAGAATCGTTTGACTCCAAGAGTTTGAGGTTGCTGTGAGCTATGACGCTATAGCTCTCTACCGAGGGCAACATAGACTGTCTCAAAAAGAAAAAAAAGCTAAATTTAATGATCACAGTATAAGAATGCTCCAGACAGGTAGCCTGATCATTCAGATGCCTTCATCCCTAGATTCAAAATCCAATAACACATTCATATAAAACTCTAAGATTGCAAGTAGCTGTTTTTTTAACTCTTATTTATCAAAAGTCGCTATCAATGAGAGTGTTTACCTGTTTGGCCTCAGCGTTGTGGAAGTCTCTGCCCTGTGAATATCACAGTTGTGTATCTCAGATTTCTCTAGTGTGTCCCAATTTCAAAGTGTTCTCTTGCTCCCATAACACACTCAGACTTGTCAGACCATTCCTTCCTGTTATTTTGGGTTCAGAAATTAAGGACACCTTACTAGAAGGTGAGATTTTGACATAAATAGGAAATACTTCCTAACTTTATAATGCCAGCCAGTTCCTAGTTGTGTTTTCCAAAATGATAGCATTTTGCCATGTAGATTTTATGTTCTCCTTTGGGATAGACAGTTACAGAGGCCCAACAGTGAAATTGAGAGATTATTCCTTCTGGATTTAAAAGCTGAATGTCAGGCTGGGTGAGGTGGCTCGTGCCTGTAATCCCTGCACTCTGGGAGGCTGAGGTGGGTGGATTGCTTGAGCTGTGGAATTTGAGACCAGCCTGAGCAAGAAAGAGCAAGACCTTGTCTCTACTAAAAATGGAAAAATTAGTCAGACATGGTGGCACAGGCTTGTAGTCCCAGCTACTCAGGAGGCTGAAGGCAAAAGGATTGCTCAAGCCCAAGAGTTAGAGGTTGCTGAGAGCTATGACACCATAGCACTCTACCCAGGGGGTAGAGTTAGACTCTCAGAAAGAAAAAAAAAAAGCCTGAATGTCGGCTGCATA